AGCCCAGTGAAGTTCACACATAAAATTAACTCTCTCTCTCTCTCTCTCTCTCTCTCTCTCTCTCTCTCATTTTTTTTCCAGAATTGCATTCTTCCTTTCTTTTATTTGATGGTTCAGAGGAAAAGTCACAAACCTATACAGCTGATAGTATTTTAGTTTACTACTGATTCCTTCCATGAGATGCTATTTCCACATCATAGTTATAAGGTAGAATTTAAAAAAGAAAAAAAAAAAACAGGAAAAAAGAGAAAGATTTTGCTAATTTACAAAATAGAAAGATTCCAAATTTGTTGGTAAAATGTAAATTTGGGAGTTGTATACACTCCTAAAGAATATTCTTGAGGTACAACATGTTTTATAGTAAAATACTTTTTTTTTTTTAATCTGAGTAGCGTCAACCTGGAAAAACACAACGAAGACCTCTGATATTGCTGAAGAAGGCGGCTATGATGCTAAACAAGTCTATGTGAAACCACACATACTGGCAACGGCAGCCACGTACATATGGAGGACTCTAGACTCTGTGTTGTAACTGCATGGAAGGCAGATGACCATGCGAATGTGATTGCCACAGATGCCCGCAGGGACAAAACACCAAGTCGACAGGAATGCAATCATGTTATAGTGTTGACATAAACCGACTATGAAAAAGAACTTCTCAAATAAAAAGCTAATCAGAATTTGTGGTGTTGACCAATGGGTGAGGAGACAGACTGACGATGTGGTCTCCAGATGTGTGCCCAAGTCTTCCACAACAACAAGAGTACATAATGCAAAAAATAAGACCAAGAAGGCGGGGTGCAACTCTGGACAAGTGGTCAACCTCAGGAAGCTAAATTCCTTCTCCCCAGTCTGGTTTATTCTGAACATTTCCAGATGAATTCTTCTGTTGAAAGGAAATAAAAGCAGACTGATTATATATGAATTATGCACATTTAATTTATACATTTGAGATTCCCTCAATGTTTCATGTTCTACAGAAACATACCATCACCTTATAAAGGTAATAGTAATATCTCAATTTTAAGGTATTTTTGCATTTATCATTTTTTAAGTAGCACAAACTATGTAAACTAAGCAAAGAAAGGAATTACTCCCAAAGCATCTTTTCTGACCTTGTGGCATTTACACTGTCATAGGGGACACAGACATCCATTATATCTGAGGAAAGATAGCTTCAATGAAGGAAAATGTAGTAAATACTGTGCTGTCTCAAGTACTTTATAAGTACAAATCCATAGGTTCTTCTACATTGCATCCCTAAGATAAAATAATGTATGTTTCCAAAAGGAAGAAATTGCGGGAGAGAGAAGTTGAGTAATGTGCCAACTATGTTTGATTCCATGCTTTTACCTATTAATTTAATAGAAAAATGATGGATTCAAGACCTGACCATAAACTCACTTTATTGAACAAGTTGAATTTGTCAACACATTATAAAGAAAGATGTTTCCTTGTAGGAGATCATGTTATTTAGTGTCCATGTAAGTATTAAATCTGATCAAGAATGCTTTTGACAAAGCCAGCCTCAGCAAAAGCAAAGTACTAAGCAACTCAGTGAGACCTAATCTCTAAATAGAAATACAAAATAGGGCTGGGGATAGCTCAGTGATTGTGTGAGTTCAATCCCAGGTGCAAAAAAATTAAAATTAAAAAAGAATGCTTTTGAAAGACAGAAAATGATTCTAGTATTCATTTCATGACTTTTTCCTTAAATGAAGAATAGTTGGGAAAAGAATATTATGAAAATAGGGGGGGAAGGAACACAATACTCACACTTGTAATTCTAGCTACTCCACACTAGGGCAGGAGAATCACCTGGCCACAACTTTAGTGAGAACCTATCTAAAAATAAAATATAAGAAGAGCTGGAAATGTACCTCATTGGTTCAATTCTGAGTATAGTAAGAATTTTAAAAGGCGATATGGGTATAAACTTTAATGTTAGACAGATTTGAACTTGCATTCAGACCTATGTGATTTTAGGTTAATAATGAGATTATGAGTCTTTAGTTCCTCATCTTTAAAACACAGTTTACAACACTGACCCCATGATATTTACAGGCAGAGTAAACAAAACAACATATGTTAAAACAATGCTTAACCTTTGGTAAAAATTGTTACTCTCTTTTTTGTGTGCATGTGAGTGTCTTATTATTGATATATATATATATATATATATATATATATATATATATATATATTTGATACATATATACACACATGATATATATGATACATATATGTGCATTTTACAGAATTCTAACAGATGTTTGAAATATATATGTATATGTATATATATATATATATATATATATATATATATATATATATATATCAGGCTTATAAAATTGCAAATCTATAAAACAATTTTAATACATATGTATATTTTACTAAAGAAATACTAAAGTATGACTCTTTTAATAAAGTAGGGGGGAAATGTAAACTATCTTCTGATAATTATTTCTTAGGAAGTATAGTAAATATTCTCTATTTTCTTCTATATTTTTATCATATTTCCAAATTTTCTCAATAAATAAAGTATCCAGTAGATGAGCATATACTTATTATATGTCCTACACACTATAAAATGGACTATAAAATAGATGGTATTAACAAGTAAACAGTGTGATTTCAGCCAGCCTGTCAATTCATGAAGTCACTTAGTGTGATTATTCATTTATCTTAAACTTGTGTGTATCTGGGCATCTTTATGGGTTTCAGATTGCTCGAGTCATTCCTAAATGACAATGATTTATTGTCACTTGTATTTCTGAAAAGTACCACCATTGACTTATGACTAATAATATAAATATAACTAATAATATAGTTCCTTGAACTCTTTTGTTGGTCCATTCAAAGAAGCTGTTCTTAAATCTCCAAAAAATAGGGGCAGAGAGCTGATTTTGACAATGAAGATTTGTTTACTATTTTACAAGAAATCATCATTGTACTTTTATTTGGTTCCAAGTTAGGCTGTAAAGATAAAAGCATAAAGACTGAAATCAGAAAAAATAAATTGGAATAATAAATGGGGTGGGTTTGTAAAACTAAATATGTGTGTGTGGTGAGGTAGTAATACATCCAAGTGTATGTTGAAGTAGAATTTCACAAACTATTAATTATGTATACCAAGAGAAAAACAGTTCTTTGTTTAATATGTGCATTTTATAGAATCCTTGGGCAATTCAATATGAAGATGTTCCATATGAAGATGTTTGTACAACAACATCTAGTTACAATAATTGTATAGAGTAAAATAGAATGAATGAATTGGAAAAATGTTACCTGGTGGGAAGTACTGAGCAGAAATCCACGCTTAAGATACAAAGAAAACTGAGAAAAAATATTTATATTTGATACGTTGTCCATTTACAGTCTGTGGCTTTCCTTTTTCATTGAAAGACAGGTGTACAGATGTGAACACAAATTGGTTCTAACAGACGTTTTGCCAGGTCTGTTGTAACCTTGTGTAGCAGCTGGGTGGGCTGGGGAGAGCGCATAAAGGATGCATACCACAATCACTGAACTTTTATTCACTCAGACTCAATTGCTTTTTCTTCGGGTGCATCAGTACTTCTGCATTCTTACATTAGACCATATAACAGATTGTGTTGATTGCTCTTTGCACTTTCACAATCCCTACATAATTGTACCATAATGAACCTCCTGAAAAACTCCTTGGTACAGAAAGCAACGTGTGGCTTATAGAGGTACTTTAAAATTGTGTCAACTTTGCTGATAATAAGTGACTTCACATTTACTAGGATTTTACATCTTTTAAAAAAATCAACTTGTTATTGTTTCATTTAGCATTTAAATACTTGCAAACAAGTCAACGTGTTTCACTCTAAAATTAGATCCGTAAATAAGCAATGGTAGAAAAGAACAACTATAAGTAAAATTTAAACTGTAACAAATAACAGATTTCAGATCCATCCAGAAAAATGTTTAATAAAAGAGAGATGATGGAAGGCATGAGAATTCCTGGCCCCAGAAATGTCACTGATGAGCTCTACAGAAGTCACAATTGTTTGAGGACAGCCCTATGCCCTTGTAGGAGCCAAAGAAGTTAATATCTAAAAGTAGCTATCTGTAAAATCATTCCAGTATTCTGTTGTGGCAGAAAGAAGAAGGTGTCTTATTAAAAGTTATTCTCCCAAGTGAGAGAAATAAGTTGATTTCAGAATGGACATGAAGTATTAGTATAAAATGTTTCGCCAGAGGTGAAACAAAGTAGTTCTCCTCCACAGAGGTGGGGACAATCCTTTGAAATACAAGATTGAATCCCTATGCAGTAAATATTATAGAATGATAAGCCACTAAAAATCAGCTCATGAGAGTCAATGTGTTTTACCCATTTTGTGTAAAAGTATACACATAATCATACCTTTCTTCGTAGATATATAAAAAAATTTCTGGAAGCCAATCATGGTGGTGCATGCCTGTAATCCCAGTGGCTCAGGAGGCTGAGACAGGAGGATCAAAATAGCCAGCCTCAGCAATATAGCGAGACCCTGTCTCAAAATAAAAAATCAAAAGGGCTGGAGATGTGTCTCAGTGTTTAAGCACCTCTGGGTTCAATCCCTGGTACAATTTTTTTTTTCTGAAAACTTAAGAAATTGTTAATAGTAGTAAATCTGGAAGTAAAACTTTAAGATCAGGATATGGGAAAGAAATGTTTTACTCTAGATGTCTTATTATAAAATGTATAATTTTTAAATATATTGTATAAATTTATAGATACAAAAGTATACAAAAGAAGAATATTTATTTTCCATACCTAAATGTACACCTCCTCCCTGTTCACACAAACATTACCCTTATACGTCATGAAAATGATAAGTCTTTTGTACCTATGTCTTTTGTGTTTTGCTGATAGATTATGTATTTTCATTATGGCAATAAAATTAGCTTTACTATAAACTCTATTAAATTTGGATACAGTTCTTACAAATAGATCTCTGATTTATGGAAAGAAAGATACTCGATGACTTTATTTAGAGAGCACATTTCTTCTGATGAGTTTCCGAAAAGCTTGTTTCATTCACATCCTTGTTTCTCAGACTATAAAGGATGGGATTCAACATAGGGCTGACAAAAGTGTAGAAAACAGCAATGATTTTGGACTGTTCGACTGACTTGTCCGTGGGAGGTCTAACATACATGCAGAACAGGGTCCCATAAAACACAGTCACTGCCACCAGGTGGGACCCACAGGTAGAAAAGGCTTTGTGCCTGCCTTCGGCAGAACGCATCCTCAGAATGGCCATGAGAATGAAGATGTAGGAGATGAGGATAATGAGGAGGGAGGTGGAGAGATTAAACCCTGCTACCACAAACATGGATGTTTCCTTAATGAACGTGTCAGAGCAGGAGAGCTGGATGAGGGGGGGATCTGCGCAATAGAAGTGGTTAATGATATTGGAGTCACAGAAGGTCAAGCGGTAAGTCCACATGGTTTCCATCAGGCCACTAAGGAACCCATAGATGTAGGGACCAGCAATCAGGCGAGCACAGACTCCTTTGGACATCTTGCTGCTGTAAAGCAAAGGGTTACAGATGGCCATGTACCTGTCGTAGGCCATCACAGCTAGCATATAATATTCAGTAATCACCATGGCAATGAAAAAATAGCACTGCACTAAGCAGGCAGCATAGGAAATGGTTTTCTTCTCTGATAAAAAGTTCACCAACATCTTGGGAGTCACATTAGTGGAATAGCACAAGTCCAAGCAGGACAAACTGGCGAGAAAGTAGTACATGGGAGTGTGTAGGTGGGAGTCCACTTTGATCAACACCACCATCCCAAGGTTACCCCCAACAGTGATCAGGTAGATCGCCAAGAATAGCACAAAGAGGATGGACTGAAGCTCTGGGCCATCCGTCAATCCCAAGAGAATGAATTCTGTCACCAAGGTGGAATTTCCTCTGACCATTTTCTTAGATACCAACATGTTCACTTGGCTGAATGAAATGAATGGAGGTGGTGAATAAGATGTCTCTCAGAGGTTTAGTTTCTCCCACTTATTCTCCCTCTCTTCTACTCTTCCTTTCTCATTACCCTCACACTATTATTGGAGAAAGTCTGAGAACATAGGGGACGATTATCTTAAGAAGGTCTTGGGCTCAAATAGCTGAGTATACATTGTGCAGATGATCCCTACAGTGTCTCCTGAGCCACCAATGTGTATGTGAATGGGAGATTTATGAGTTAAAGTTTGTACAATATCAGACTGAATCTCCAGCTTCCCTTTATAAAACCATGGGGATCTAAAATTTGTGCTTGATGCTGCTTCTGTACAATTTGTGTAGAATATATATATATATATATATATATATATATATATATATATATATATATATTGCTGTCACCACCAGTGTGTGCATATTTAGAAGCTTCATTTTTGAGAATTTAATTCTCTATGATCTATATAAGCCCAGAATTAGAGCTTCTTGAAGGAAATTCTCTGGAATAAGTTTTAGTGCTAAATTTGTTAGACTTAGGAGCACAACTTTCATATGAAAATATACCAAGGTAAGGTTCCAAATTTTAAAATAACAAAAGCCTATTTGAATAACAAAAGAATAAAATTTTAGTTACATGAGTTTGCATGAATATGGCATGATGAGACATAGAAAAATGGCAAAGAAGACACCAAAAATTAAAGCATAGTTTCATTTGCTCATCTATTTATCTTTTTTTCTGATGTATCCCAGAAAACATGTAAGGGTATTTGAAGTATAGCAAAACTTGGGGTCTGGGGATATAGCTCAGTTGGTAGAGTGCTTGCCTCACATTCACAAGTCCCTGGGTTCCAGCCCAGAACCACCACCAAAAAAAAAAAAAAAAAAACCCTTGACCAATTTATACTGCTGATAGAATATAAATTGAACTGTAAACTTTGCCAAAAGCATGTACAAATGATTCAACCATCTTCACTATACTATTATAATATCCAGAATTATAAAATGAAAACTAATGAAGAAATAATTATTCTTAGAACAGAGTTTTCAGGTGATACTAGTTACAGTGAATTTAAAAAATTTGAAAATTATTGTCCTGGAATTTTAGATAATATATTTTCATTTTGTATTTCCAAAGTTATCCCTTGTTATTTCATAAGAGGTAAGGGATCAAAACTTAGTTGCCTATGATAGCCATTGAGACAATATGAAGGAATGAAGGGGTTGGTGTGAGAGTTAACTAAAGGGAACCAAAGTGTGGTTCCAGTATAAAGAGGCTCCAAATATGTAATATAATCTCTGCTATGTGGTAACACATGGCCCCTGTTATAAGATCTTAACAGATTTTAAGTGTCAGAATTCATTAAATTCATGTAAACTCTACAAAAAAAACATAGCACTGGCAATTAAATTTAGTTTTAAACCTATCTTTAACAAGGGCAGAGAACAGAAGTGTGTAGGCATGATCTTCTGTGATTACAAACAACAATTTCATGCAATACCAATGTCACCAGCTCTGTACTTCCACTATGTAAACTATTCCTAGAAAGACAGTCACATACATACATGAATGTGATTTAGTTATTTTGACTCTGGTGCTCTCAGAATGCTGCATAATCTTATCATTAGATGAGATAAACTTGTACAGAAGCAGCATCAAACATAGTCTCAAACATGCAAGCTGTTTCCCTGAGAAAATAAAGAAAACCCATAACAGTGCTTGTCTTTGAAGAGCGGCTTGGTGTCTTCGTGTTAGGGGAGATGAAAATTATAGTGAAATATGCTTAGTTCAATAAGAAAGAATTTGAACTAATAATCATATTAGTTCAGTACATCTTGAGCAATGTATTGAGAAATCAGGTTAGGTGTTAAAGAACAATAACCTTTAACTGCAACTTAAAGAAAAACGTGGGAATGGTTTTGGACAAGAGTGGGCAAATATTTCTGTAGTATAAACAGCACATGCAGAGACTTTTCTAAGGAGACACTTAAGAGAAATCAGAGATATTTCACATGGAAACGAGGTGAGTTTTCAACTGTTACAAATAAGAAATTTAAGAAGCAGTACATAGCCAAACAAACTTAAAGCACCCCTCACTGTTTACTGTACGCAGTGTGCCCTGTGGTTAGAAAGATTGCTTATTCATTCAATGCTTATGTAAGCAACAGCAAAATTTATCTGCCATGACTCTTACCATTCTCTAATTCCTATGCCAATATAGAATAAGTCATTAAAACATGAGAGAAATTGACAAGTCAGTTTTGTAGGAGCCAGACCGTTTTGTTCTTTGTAGAAATAGCATATAGAAAAACAATTAAACCACAGTGGGGAAGAGCAGTAGAGATCCCTCTCAACAGAGGTTTCCCCAGAACACCAGTGTCCTATATGAAAAATCTGGGTGATGTGGAGTTAGCAAGTATAGCAAAGAGTTTTTAAATGTCTATATTCCTTCTTGAACCATACAATAGAAATGAAGTTACATGTGAGGTTTCACTGGCTTGATAATGTGAAATTGCTTTCCTCTGTGTTAGAATGATAAAGATAAACAAGACAATAAACCCAACACAGATTTGTCCACTTAATGAATTGGATTCACAGGATATCTATAAATACATATGGTTATTTTTTATTATGGGAAGACTCAAAAATTAAACCCACATTACTTGTCACTTGGCATGTTGTTAGGGTTCTGTCATTAAGCAAAATATAAGGGGTGCCATTTATGGGGAATTGGTAAGCATGATATGTATTTAGGCGAAGATGGAAGTTCCAAGAATTCCCAATCCTCGAAGCTCAAAAAAATAAAGAAAGAAATCACAACTAATGATAGTCAGAAACACAATCAGCAAAAACACATTTCTACAAATGTCATTGGTACCTGAAATACTACTTTTGGAAATGTCCATTTATGGGTAAGTGTGTCTTCTTTCAGGCTTGTTAAAATGCAAGTGTCAGAGGGACTGGGCTAGCCTGCAACTGCTGTCAGTTACTGACTAGTCCTTGAGCACAGCGTCACATGGTTCCTGTTAAATGGATTCAGTGGGAGACTAGAGGAGGTTGATGCCAAGGAAAAGGCCCAAGAAAATAGAAGTGTTACTGAAGTTTAATTTCAGTCATTAAGCCCCTAAACTACGTCTACTGGGTAATAAGACAAACTAAGTCTGGGAAATTAAAAAAAAAAAAAAAAAAAAAAAACTCTGGTAGGGAACAGAGATAAGCAGCCAGGCTGTGGATATTAATTTTCCAGGAAGGAGCTCTTTCCTTGATGGACTCCAGCGCCTTCCTTCCCTTTAGTTTTCCATTCCAGTGTCTCACAAATACGAGAGCAGGGAACATTACCTTGTTACAATGCAGGAACCTGAGTTCCAGGTCATTTTGTGCAGTGTACTTTTTAGTGCTTCTCAGGGAAGATTCTTTTGAATCTTTATTTAGAAAATAGTCTCTTTGCCTAGATGCAGTGACTATTTCCATGGGATTTCAAGGCTATTCAGCATCAGAGTTTGACTAGTTCCCAAGGTGTCCAGTATCCCCAAACTTCTGATATTACACTCAGGGGTTTACCAAACCTACACTCATTGGTAGTAATGTTTCTCTTAGTTAATATTATATTTACCTCCCAATTTTCTCTAATAATTTAAAAAAGGGTTTTTAATATTCTATAAATATTGAATATACATATGTTTATATATAGATAGATTAGGTATAGATATATATGATTCCTAGAATAAATATTATTCCTGCTTAATTTACCTTTCTTTTGAATTTCTGATAAAATATTTTTTGGGGATCAGGGGATTGTCCTTTCAATGGGTATTATTCTAAATATATTAATACCATGATCAATGGAAGTATTTACTCCATTGATGATCTAAATGTGTGTTGTCTAATCTGTATTGTCTAAATGTGGTTTTCTTAATATATGTTAAATACTTGTATGAATGGTGAGAACGATATTTGAAAGTACAACAATTATTATGAACACATGAGTTTAATAATTTTTAATATTCTCCCATGATGTATCCAAATAACAAATGCACACTGATTTATATTAACTGGCTAAGGAACTAAGCTATCATTTAAAGCTGCTATTGCTGTCACCTGTCCACTACTAATAAATCTAAATATAAAACAAGAAAAGAAAGTGCAAGTATAAAATTGAGAATTTTTATTCCTACCTGATCCCAGGAAAGATTCTCTCAGAGACACTAGTGGTCCAAGATATGAGTTGCAGAAGATTTATATCCACTTGCAATTTGGAGTTTTTATTCCTAAAATATTTTAACACACCCTAAAGACATAATTACAATGTAACTACAAAAGATAGCTCTAGGGGAAAGTTAGTAATTGGTTTAGGCTTATTTCCACTAGAGTCCTGGGAATTAAGCAATGTGATTTCATCAGTTTATAATCACCTTGAGCTGATTGCTTTAAGTGATCAGAAATTTATTCTATAGTCTCACAGGATTTTTGTATTATTGATTACCATTTATTCTAATTAATGAAGATAGCAATTAATAAAGATATTTAATATTGGCATAATTCATGAACTCTGATGTTTTTGAGTTTCTTTCCTGTCTGAATCCTGTATTGCCCAACACTTTCCAAAAAGGGGCTTGAATAACATGAGTAAATTATAAATCCAATCAGTAAAATAATCTGAACAAGTCAACATAATGAGTTATAGAAGAAGAGTTAGTTCAAGATATTAGAGTCAGGTGCTGGGAAGTGATATTTTGTGGATAATCTGATAAGCATATGCTTAGTAGTATTTAGTTGCCAAATCATGTAAACAAAGGGGAAAGATTGAAATATTCTGCCTGACTTTTACTTCCTTTTACCAACTCTTAAACTTATCTAAGCGTTACAAATATAAGCTAGATATGGCACATTTGCTCAAATAATATTTAGTACAATTATAAAGGCAAAAATAGACATATAAATACTTAATCAGAACATCGATGTAGCGGTGTCCCTGTAGCATGCTGTTTT